TCTAAATCGAATTATGTTTGAACGTCGAACCGCAAACGTGTAACCGCAAACCGCGGTTAGAGGTTCGCGGCAAACTCGGATCTAAAACTCTCCATTAACAGCAAACGTGACCTTAAAGGTCGGTCTTAAAAGTATCGATTTAATCTATTTTAATCAACAAAACTGAAAAATTAAGACAGAAACGGAAACATACCAATGAGTCGTAGACTAGTAATTTTAAAGTAAAAGGACGATAATTAGACAAAAATTGTATTTCCTCTCTATTGTTATTTTTTTTTAATGTTAATTATTACTTATGACGCGAGTTTGGGTTAGTTTACTAAATATTTTGAAAAAAATTGAAGTCGTCAAAAAATAACGAGATTAAACGTTCTACAAACTATTAATTTCCTATTTATTAATACGAACAAAACCATATAGAATCAATTCGAAATTACAGTTCGAATTTGAGAATTTCAATTTATGAGCCAGCTCGTTTCCACAAGCATGCTAATACAACTGCCGGCTTTCTTGGTTACTGCATGGTTACCATGGTTACCACTTCATGCAACAGGGGCGAAGAAAGACACTGTACTTTAAATCGAGACGGTGATCCTCTTGTCTCAACTTCATTTTTCAAAGACTGACGTAATTTCCATTTTCGAGACGGACTTGATGGTGGCAGGATTAAATTGTCCAACTGGTAGATTAAACTTGTCCCGTTTTTGTGTCCTTCGCTGGTTTTCGAGCACAACGTTGTTGCTCGGCTTCTCAGTCGCGTATGGACGTTCAGCTTATGTAGATATTTAGTCAATCCAGCAAATTTACGACAGAACAGGTGAACAGTACAGCTGATAAATCATTTTACTGAGAGACGGACCCAAATTTCTGAAAAAAAGGACGATGTATTTTAATAAGGTTATTTTAAAACTCTTTCCGGTGCGTGGTCAACAATATATACCTCATAGTTCCGGAAAACAAGAAAAGAATGAATAAATGAACTACAACACTTACATAAAGAGTAGCACTTCTGGAGTTTCAGCTTTTAGGGCCTTTTTACATGGAGTGGGGGACCCCGGTCTAGTGGGGTTGGTTTCTTTTGTTTTCACGCTCTGGGGCACACAAAACAAAAGAAACCTACCCCACTAGACCGGGGTACCCCACTCCATGTAAACAGGGTCTTAATGTGAACAGAAACAAACAATACCTTTGATTCTTGCCACACTTCAGAGAAGAAAGAAGCAATTCCCTGTCTTTCGTGTTCCCTTGAGATTTATAAGCATCAAGCAGTCTAGAGTCAAACAAAAGAAGGGTACAGTACGAACGTCCATGATTCCTTTGTCATGGAAGCCTCTCATGAAAAAACGCATTTTAATATCAAAACTTTTCCAATCAAAAATCTAGATTGCACTTAGCAACTAAAAAAGAAGGTAGAGTGAACATACCTTTTAGGTGTTGGATATTTTTCCAAGATCGCAACTGCTTTGTCTGGTGATACTCCACTGATCTGCATGAGCTGTTTGGCAAATACTTCACTCACAGTCATCACCTTTAGTAGATGTGGTACAAACGCAAGAGAGACTATTTATGATTTGTGAGCGCCGTGAAATGACACCAACATTTCTACTCATATCATAGTAATTCCCAGATTAACTAGACTAAATGTCACTTTGGTTAGTTACCTGCCTACCATTTTCATAAGTTTGCGTTGTTTACGTTGCTACTCTTACGGTAAAATTCAAAAAGAGTTTTAACGTAAGGTACGTCTTCTATTCACTAAGGACGTTACCGTAAAATTCCGAAAATAAGCCCCTCCGTGTATAAGCCCCTCCAAATATAAGCCCCCCAAACCCGTAACGCAAAAAACCCTCCGTTAAATCATCCCTCCAAATATACGCCCCCCGGGGGCTTGTACTTGGCAATTGCCCTCAAACACAAAGTAAAAGAAAGCAAAAAAGGTACATTTGCCCTCAAACTATTCAAACGTAAAAGGCGGCCAAAAAAAAAATAATTTCCTTCCAACTTTTCATGAAAATAGAGTTTAGTTCCCAGAGGAGAGAAATGCTTTCGTTCTTGACCACCAACATGGCCGCCGTGACGTCACGTGCAAACCAACTATAAGGCTAGACCAGTCGATTTTTAAACGCAAATTTCCCTCCATAGATAAGCCCCTCCGAATATAAGGCCTTTCAAAAAAATAAGCCCCTCAAAAAGGGCCTTTGAAAAATATATGCCCCTGGGCTTATTTCCGGAATTTTACGGTAGATTTAGAATCACATTGAGCGCGCGCTTACCCTGTATTACGTCACAACAACGTCCGCAAAGTTGAAGGGTTCGATGGAAAAAGCACTTTAAGTTAAAAATGAACACAAGTTATAATTAAGCAAAGACGCTCTACTCCTACCGGAATTTGTTAATAGAATCAATCTACGATAGCGCATAGAATGCAGAAAAGAAATGCCTCTGCTGTGGTTTGTTTTTTCCGTGTCTACGATAAGAATAGGCTTAACAATCAGCATTAGATATCTAGTTTAGTAAATGTCATAACAACAACAATATCTAATTATTTAATGTATTTGTCATGTAACCTTTTTCCCCTCTATTTGTATATGTAAATATTCTGTACTTTCTGTGTTGTAATAAAGCATAAAAAAAACACACAGACACAAGTTATAATGAACAAAAGTGAATCTTGTCAAGTACCTTGTTCTTAACAGTTGAATCGTTGAAGTCTCGGAAATTCATGAGGTACAATCTGTTGTTCCCAAACGTGCTGCTGTTCGCACGTGCATCTTCCAATCCTCCTTGACGACAGCTTACTAGTGTCTTATTCTGTTTTTTAAAAAAGTGGTAAAAATCATAGCGGTATCAGTACTAATCTGTCTATGTCAATTTTTTCTCCGCCACTGGCAGCGTTGACGACATTCTCGTCATTTAATATTTGTTTTCGAAGTTTAGGTGGCTATAAAGGTGCCCTAACTTTCCCTTCCTTGATAAAACTGATAAAACAAACTGCTCATCGTAGTTTTCAGATTTGTATCACAACCCTTAAACCATTTGTCGTGGTCTTTTTCATTGGGTCACATATCCTGTTGTGTGAAATGGATTTAGGTGGTTATTTAGTAATTACTCTGGCTATAAATAATGGTTATATAGGACTGAGTGGAATCCAATTCGGTCTGCAGTCATACGAATAATTACCAAAATCGGACGATCGCGAAGCGGGAGTCCGATACGTTTAATCACGAGTATGATTACGGACCGAAGTGGACGACAAGAAGTTTTGTTACCAATTGATCATAATTACAACGAAATTTTTGACAATTTAGGTTTTTCTAAATCAAAACACAAAAAGTTCCGAGAGTTTTTTTTGGTAGCAGAGTGAAAAAAGCCATTTAAATGGCTTATGCGCGCGTGCGATGGCGCGTACTGTCCAATTAACTTGCGCATGACGCGTACTGTCCTATTAGGGCTGAAAAGCAAATAAAATTTGAGAATTTATTTATAGTTATGATTTAATAATTATAATCATCATGATCATCATCACAACAATCCAATTAATTATTTTATGTAATGTCCATTTTTTGATTGGCCAGCCGCAACAAGAAAAACCCTCCTGACCCTACAACACACAATTCTTTCTGTTGCGAAACATGTTCACTTTGGGGTATGTAACGCTGCCCCGCCAGCGAAAAAAATTTCGTACAACTTCTCTCGCAATAAAACTGCGAAGTCAATTTGCGCCATTTGATAAGGACAAAAATAAGCCTTATTTACACAGAATATCGAACAACGGACACATGTAGCTGAAACTTACTGAGTAAATCTTCTGTAAGTGTCGAGTCATCACTGTTAAGTAGGCAACAGACTCCTTCAGGTCATGAGTTCGCTTAACAAAAAATCCATCTACGATCTAAAGTATAAAAAAAAAACAATTAGGGAACGGCATAAAGCCGGGGAAACAAGATGATACCACAGACACACCAAACTTCATTCTGATTGATAACTCAGTTGTTAAAGAGCCGTTCTGAGAAGCGGGAAGTGACAAATTGTACAACTGTCTAGTGGTCTATAGTACCAGCAAGTACAGTAGAAACTTGCTAACCTTAACTCGCAAAACGAAAACAGAACAAAACAAAAAAAACTACGAGTTAGCGGGGTAAAATGTACTTAATATTTAGCCAGAGGGAACGTAATCATTAGTCCGAATTTGCGGCTAATTCGGGTTAACATACATATAGTTTGAATTAACGGGGACACGTAAACAAAATAGGTTTGAGCTTCTAACCAACCTGAGTATTGACAATAGCTTGTAACAGCGTGCTCTCTGGAAGGCTCATGTGTTGTATGGAACCAAAATCCTCCACGAGATAGATTGGATGTTTAAGGCCACAGTGACGCAAACGAAACTGCAACAAGCGAACAAAAGTGATAGTTATACATCTCCAGGTTGAATGAAGAGGGATTTTTTCATGATTCATTTGGTAATTTTTTGGAAAATCTGAAAGTTTTAACCTTTCCATCGGGTTGCTATTACAAAGAAACGCACTGCTAAAGCTGTATCAAAATTGTTAGTATCTAGTATGCAAGTCAAAAAATAAGTAAATTCTAGTTGAAAATGATACAACTTGAATGCAAGAATGGTTTTGTTATGAGCTTGCAGCACACGGACATTGTAAAAGGCCTACCTTTCCATGAGTTGTTAGGGAGAACAAGTAACAACTACTGCGACAGCAAAGAGAACGTCAAAAAAGCAACAGGTTTAACAAGCAAAGCTATAACTTTGCAAGTGCATCACAATTTTTAATACAACCTCTGCCGTCAAAGAAGTATAAGACAAGATTTATAAACAAAACCTTTTGCTCGCGGAAACGACCGTCGGTAATACTGCAACAGAGATCGTCCATTCTCTTCCGTTCAGCTATGTAATCCAGCACCAACTCACGAGCGACAGGAACTGACAAACAACCTGAAACATTCCAAACTAAGCATCTCACTAATAACCACATCAAGAGCTTTACCGACAGGAAGAGAAGTTGACAATATAAATAGGAATCCCTGTGAAGTTATTGTAACTTTCAATTATGTAGATTTAAATTTGTATGATATGTTTAAAGAGAAAAGGAGAGGAAATAAAAGCCGTCAAGGGGCACCCAACGAGGATATAGTTCAAAACCACTTAACATAGCATTGTTGGACGTATTTTAGTATTTAAACGGTAGATATAGGCATATTTTTATCCCCTAAAAACTTTTCATCTATTCGAATTTCCTAGCTGAAAGTCTAGTGATCCGAAAATTATAGGGATCAAAACTTACCTTTTCGAAAATTTCAGCCAGGAAAAGGCTCCCGAAAATTCTAGTTGGCCTTTTTTAGGGTAAATATCCGTTTGAAATGGGTAATTATACCATTTTGTAGATGTTCGAAAATCCTAGGAGAGGCAGGCACGTAAGAAATTTTACAACAAATGCTCCGAAAATTCTAGTTCTCAAATCGTCTTCCGAACAGATATTTTCCCGAAAATTGCCGTTAAGTGCCCCTGGCAAGTCCACTTTCCATGGATTCTACGTCGCCGGCAAAGATTATGACTGGGGAGGCAGACGTCGATCTTTCTCTGCTATCGAAGGCTACCAAAGATCGCGTTCTTAAAATTCAGCTGGTACGTAGCATCTTGATAATGAAAAAATATGAATAAGGCAAGACGAAATTGCGCAAACACAAAACCTCCCCCCCCCCCCCACCCCCAACACACATACACACCGCAGGCTGGTCAACTGAATTTGAGTATCAAGTAAAAAAGCATAACCTCCCCTCCCACCGGATACGGAGTGATTTAGCCCCGTAGCTAACACACACGTGCGAGACACACGTGCGAATCTACTTAGAAACTTGCCAGTGCTTTAAACAAAACACAGAAGATTGCAGTGACGTACCAGGTGTAGGAGTAGTTCTTTCACGAGCCACCCAAAGGAAGTCACCAAGCTGCAGCTTTCGAACATCAAACTGCACTCCTGAGAAAGAAATTAAAAACAAAGCTGGTCCTTAAAAAAATGGATTATTTTCTCAACGCCGATGTACACAACTTTGACGCAAAAAAAGTGTTTCCTTTTTTCATACTTTCAAATCCATTTCTAGATCTAATCAGGCAAATAAGATTTCTCCGACTGACTCTGTCCTGAGGGACGAGGATTCTCTTGGCCTTATTGGACCTCTTTTAACTCAACTTGTCAGTCATTACTACTCAGTCACAGAACTTTTAATATCCATTACAGACAGCAGAAGATATGCTTACCCATCCCCCCTCAGGTGCTATCAAGACACGTGAAAAGTATTTTAATTCCTCAACAAGGCAATTAGTTGCACTTTAACCACTTCCACCAATAACGAACCATCTCATACCATTTTTCTTCAGTTCAGGTATAAGAGCTTCTTTCCTTGATTTGGCTTGCCCTCCAGTTGTCTCAATGACATCAACACATAAAATAATGTCAAATGTTCCTGTGATAAAAAAAATCACACATTAATACAAACCTACATTTATTAAAAGGGTGGGAATGTTTCGGGCAAAACATAAACTTTTCTTCATTAGCTTAGATAGAATAAGTTCTATCCTTAGAAAAATGAACCTCAAGTCTTCTCTTTTATATGTGCCTTGCAGGCAAGGGAAAGAGCAATTCAATCACGCAGAAGGGCTCATGACATTTACGCCCATTCCCCGTTCCTGCTGTTTGTTTGCGAGGCAGGCTAACGTTACATGTATTCAGAACTGACCTGCAGCTTTAATTCAGGAATCCCTTATTAGAATGAAACAGTTCAGTGAAACATGCACTCAGCAAACATGGGAGAAGAGTTGAGGTAGAGGAGTAGAGGGGTTCAAACAAAAGGGAGTGCATGTGACAGGTCAAACAAAGTGGCCAAATGTAGAGCTATAGCTATATTAGGAGACATTTAAACACTGTGACGATAATTGTCTGATCACATGCAATAAATTTGATGCCTAATTTAGTCAATTAATATTTATATTCACCTGGTCTCAAGATAAAGTCAGAAGTAACTGATGATGGATCATCCTCTTGTGTCCTGCAGGCAACAAAGTAAAGTGATTTTCTGTTAATGCCAGTTTTAAATCGTTTCCAGCTACTGCCAATAACAGACTGCATCGGGTTTTAGCTTTTCTATTTTGCCCCTTTGTAACTAAACAACGTAACAAAAAATCTTTGCTTACCTTGTTTTAATTCCTTCTTCTCTCGTTTCTTTTATGCTGGTAAAACTATAACCGCTTGCGGGTTTCGTTGGGACATCTTCAGGTTCATCCTCATCTAGACATACAAGTTGCACTGGTTTTGAGTTCCAGGAGGGCATTTCAGTAGTTGAAGCCATAAATTTTAGCTCATGTGTTTTATCATCTGAACGGCAACTTGATGGAGACTGAGTACAGTCAACAGTAAATGGAGGAGCAGAACTTGTCCCTGGTGACAAACTCTCCCCTGTTACAGTCTCCAGCTTTTCTGCTAATTCACAACCTGCGTTTGTCAAGGAGTATCTACAAAAAAAAGGCAAAGGTTTCACATTAGCAATTAAAACTAGCAATAACTGAAGGTTAGAAAGTGCGGGCGACAATGATCAGAGGTCCAAATGCATTTGCTCCATCTCTGTGCTTTGCGTAAGTTTCATGTGACAGATGGTCAAAACACACGTGATCAGATTACGAAACGCGCGTGATCAAATTGCGTTTTGTGCATTCCACTCATTCTTAGTGGAAGTCCAAACGAATGCTGAGAACGTACATGCGATGCATGAGTAATAACAACCTGGAGATTAGGATTGCAGGCTCTTGTTGTTGCCTGCAAAAATTAAGCTTTTATTTCTGAATGCAACTCAGCTGGAGAACTAGATGCCAAGGAAGATTGTACCAGTACTTTTCAGTTTACTACAATACTCGTCGCAAATCGTTGAAACAGAAGCCATTTGTCTTGAATTTTCTCCAAATTTCTTACATTCAGTCTTCACACCTTTGTTCTCGCTCAAACGTGCCCCTCTCCTTCCCCAAAGAACTTAAGTCAAACCCAGATCAACAAAAATTCAAATTTGTGAATAAGGTAGATATAAAGAACTTAAGTCACCAAAAATTCAAGTAATAAGGTACATACACTTAATATACAATTCCTTTGTACATGTAGACATACATACATATATGGGTATATGTAATTATGTGAGACAAATTTACCTAGCAGGGTTGTTTGTTTTGATGATAAAGCCTTTTCTGATCAAGGTGGACATAGATGACCAAGCTGTGTAATGACTTCCAGGGTCAGGCTGTCAAAATTAACATTTTTTTATTTGCCACTTTTCCCAAAACCCACCTTGTTTGTCCCCCCAAATTTTGCATATTAAGCATTGTTTTCAATTTCTCCTGGGAAGACTGTAATTCCCAGAAGAAATAAAAAACAAAGGTTATGCAAAATTTTGGGGGGCAAACAAGATGTATTATAAGAGATGTGCAAATGGCAAATTGTTAGTCACTAACCTCATAATTAAATCGCTTCAAATTTGTCTGACTTGAATCAGGTCACAAGACAGTCCTTTACACTAATATTATTATGATAATTATGACAGTAGGTAGTTACATTGTACATGTAATTAATTGACTCTTACAAGATGAAATATATTAATTTATGCAGTCCTGTGTATATGATTCATGAGTACTGTACATACTAGCACATGAGTTTAGCAAGCTATATTTTCTGTAAGAATTTTTATCGAGCTTGTTGGAGCAAGTAATAGGTACATAATTAAACACAGTAATTACCATAGTGAAGGATGCTTCACAGAAAGGTTGGGCTTCTTTTTGCAACTCGGCTCTTGTCATGTATCCTCTATAGTTAGGTCTCTTTAAAGTAAAAACAATTCATTATACATCATACATGTTCAAAATATAACGAAAACATTAACCATCAGCCAGTCTACATGAAAATTGCAAATTCAGACAAAAATCTTGGATGACGTAATAGCCATATACCATTAGAACTCTTCTGGCAGGGAAGGGTTATGGAGAATTCAGGAAAGCCTGAAATATTTTCTCTTGGCTTTCCAGGCTTATAGGGTGTCAACTCTCTCTTTCCAGGAATTCTTGGAAAGCAAAGAGAGCCGCTTGGCTTTCTTAATCAATAAAAGGATCTTAAAAAATTTTATGTGGAGGCAGTAAAAGTGGAGTCAAAACAGAGAAAAGTACTATTAGAGATGCAATAGGGGCTGCATCATTGGAACACAATGAATTTTTTTCGATAAATAATGTATAATGAAGTGAAAAGTTCACTTCAATAACTAAAATTCAATGGTACCATATAATTGACTAAACCGTAAACAACCTGGCTTTCTTGGTACAAAGTTAGCATCAAAGCATATGGTCCTGATCTGTATGTGGGGATGTATTCTCGCACAACTTTCTTCTTGGGTTTCCTCTTCTAAAATATGCAATCATTCATATAACATTAAAAAAATATAATTACCGGTATATCATTTTTTGAATAATTTTATTACTAACACTGGAAACTAAACCATTAGACTTCCCTGTGTCAAAGAACCCTGATACATGTCTGTAGTATTTTTTGGAAAGGTCAAGAACATGCTAGCAGTCAAATAAAAGGTCTAAAAGAAGGGTGAAAACAGAGAGTGAGACTCTAAAGCCAGCGCTTCATGCCTTGAAAAACCAACTGTCTTGCAGTCTGTGTTTTGTAAGGACAATCATCTAGCACAATACTATCGTACCTTAGGTGTTTTTTTCACTGCAGGATCATTGTCTAAATCCACTAATGGAGGTGGTGGAACACACATTGTCTGATCCAAAGGATTTGCATCTGATCTTAACTCTTCCTCCTCCTCCTGTTCATCATCACTGTCAACAGCTACAGAAAAAAATAAATAACAACATAAATAGCTTATATTTATTATGAGGTTTCCTTCACTCTAATGTACAACAGCTGGTGCATGTTCCAGCCATCCCGTCCCTTGTCCCTCATCTGCCAATGGGACATTATAAGGAAAGGAAGATTTACCCTTTAAGCCCTAAGAGTGATGAGCATCAAATTTCTCCATGTAATATCAATGCAAATGTAAAACAGAGTGGTCATGAGTATTAAGGACATGATCACACTAGATGAATCTAATTGATACTTCGACAAATTCTCCCCACTACTTCTATTGAAAGTGTACAGCGATAACAAATGGGAATTTGAATTTTGATATTAGGGTTTAAAGCATGAACCCTTTAAGTCCCAAGATCCACATACAAATTCTCCAGACAGATCTCCATACATTTCTTTTAAGAATAGTTGAGAGAATTTGGTTTAAGATCAAAGCATTCTCCCATTAGTAATCAATTAAGTAATTCTCATAACCTTTACTTTTTGATGATCTGCTGATATTGTTGGGAGAAATTGATGTTGGTCACTCTTGGGACCTAAAGGGTTAAGAGAGTCTCAAAGGCAAGAATATCTATAGTAAAGTAAATTATAGTTCAAACTACAACCAGTCTACATTGCTTTGGAGCTTTAACCCATTCGCCCCTGAACCGCCCGTAACCGCCCGTGCGGATCCAGGTCCTTTCTACCCTTTGTGACATCATCAGTTTTAACAGTCAAGGACAACTTTCTTCGCTAACTTGTGCAGAGTGAAGAGATCTTTCAAACCATACCAGAATGAGCACAATTCAGTCAAGAACACCGGAGAAAGAAGCAAAAAAACCACGTGACAAGGACCTGAAAATCTCCATGAAAATCTTGTTCCATTACCCACCTACCTTTCCTTTCACCTAATCCTAAGATCCTAAAAGCTTTCCTAAAAACTCTTCCCACCAAAATGAAGCCTACTAAATGCCCAGCAAGAGAAAAAAAATGAGGCAAGAAAAGCGAAAAAAGAAGGGAGGAGAGAAAGCGAAAAGTAAAAGTCAAGACTGCTGTGTCACTTTTAAACCCAAAAACTATGTCGAAATTTTGCTTTCTGCGCATGCCCGAACTTCGTAAGCTGATATTTTGCATCTGGATCAGAAGGCCGCCAAGTGTACGACCTGTAAACCGGTTTGTGGTAAGTTTTAGCTCTTTATAGCACGACAGTGACCAGAAAACCACTCGACTAGCTTCAAAACGCGTTTTTCGGCAAAATCTCCAGGAGCGAATGGGTTAATGTTAGAGACAATGGAGACAGCATTTGATAGATTTGTTAATTTATGCCAGAGAATTATCCCTTAATGCACCTTGTTGATTACTGGCATTATACTTTGCCATAGCTTCATCAAGCCTGCGAGCAATCATCTCACCTGTGAAGTCAAAACAAAACAATATGGACTGTAAACATTTTTTTCTGCCGATCTCATGAAAAGATTTACTACTGACAGAAAGACTAGGTAAGAACTTTTCCGCAGGGTTGACAAACACCGGTTAGAGAACTTGCTAAGGAAGTGTTGCCATATCACTTACACTATCTTAAGTTCATAAAAAATGAACAGAGCAATGTTTCAGAAAGTAATATTTGCAGGTTCATGAGCAAACATGCGGGTGTGACTATTTTAATAAAAGCTCATGTAAGTTTCTCCAACCCTTGCAACCACACCTTCCACTGCAAGTAAAAGTCAGTGATAATAATATATTTGCAATTATCAAAACAATGGACCACATTGTATTATTACAAGAACCTATGGTAGGTCTACAGTAGATCGATCAGATGGTGATAATGACCATGACAGGAAGGTTTGGGCACAAGCAACCTTGAAGTGCAAAAATTTCAAACCCTGCACTGCAGAATACATGCTTTCAGTTGCTGTTTAACATTATGTTGAAATTTAACTAAAACCAATGGATATGACTCTGTGCACTTTGTTGCATTCTCTGAAACATAAGGATATCAGACTGGCACCTCACAACGTAAATATGGACAATAGGTAGCTTCAGGTAAAGAAACTCTTTCTGCTTCCCACATCTTCAGCTGAAGGCTTAGAATCAATCTGCCTTATGCTCTTAACATACTTGTGTCACCCTTAATACAACTTTTTAAGCTCTTACCAATATTATCAAGAATCATTGCATCCTTTCCACAACGCAGAGGTAAAGGATACTTCCTTACAGCTGAAGCAGCCTAAAAAGAACAAAATACACTGCAATAAGGGAAATTACTCCTATATAATTATGGTTCTCAATGTTTTTGGCACAAAGTGCTCAAAAAGTAAGAGGTGTCAAAACAAAGCAAAGAAAAGGGGCAAACACAAAGGCATGGGATGACTGTTGCCCCCTGTATAATAATTATGTTAATGTTCTTGGCCAAAGTGCTCAAAGTAAGAGTATAGGCTGGGGCAGGCATGGGATGAATGTTGCCCCTCTTCCATTCGTGTAGTCCAGGGACTTTCCTCGGGATATTTAATTTGCGAACCCTAAAAAGTGCATTTTAGTGTATTTTGAGCAAAAAAGAAAAGAATTTTAGCCATTGCAATTTTATTATATTCTACTCATGTTTACTTTTTTTTTTCATCTATATTATGTCTACTTTTATCACACAAGTGTTGGGAAACAAACACTACTTGTTATTATTATCCCACCCCAAAATGTTATTGTGAGAACCAGTACTAATGTGTCAACTTAATGGCGAATTTTGGGGGCTGGAGCTTCTGAAAATCACTGCTAAATTGGACCAAGGATGGGGCATTTGAATGGCCGATGCATAACGAAAACTTTTAACTAAAACATAACCCTACCAACATTATTTTTTATCAAAGGCATGAGATTTCTAAGCTGACAAGAGTGCAGGAAATTTTTGTAGAGGTCCCGGTCATATCCAAAGATGTCTGAAGATTTTCTTAACATACCTGAAGGTGTTGAAGATTTTTCAAGCTGTTATAATTGTCTGACAGGAAGATTTATGAAACATGTATGCCCCAGAGCTCTTTTGTTGGTTAATATTAATCAGACAATAAATGCGCATTTTCCAAGGACTGAACGGACTCACTCTTATAAACACAGTTTATGAAGAGTTTTCATTAAGACTTTTCAAAGTATGAGAGTAGAATTAACTGTTAAGACAGGGGCAAAGGGGTTAGGGGAGGGTGGTGGGAGTGGGGGGGGAGACTTATACATAAGGTACATGTAACCTGAGGTTCCACCCGGGAAAAATCTTGTACAGAAACTATAAAACTATAATTTAATTTGATGTCGTGGGAGAAGAACACGCTACAAACTACAGTTTTTGTATATCCAAATAAGCTGAACAGAAATGAGTAGAAAAATTGCATCGCCTGAAATCACAGCCCTCATTTTTGGAAGCTTCCCAAATAGCTTGCATAACAGGCACTTTATATTGGCCAAGTGAGGCAAATTTGGCATTTTGTACAAGGCACAAGACGAGTACGAAGCACGAGGTGAGGAGACGAAAAAAAATAAAGTGCCTGTTACCAGTCCATTATTCTTGCTCTTCTCACATTCACTACATGAATGTCATGCTCCAACTGGTTAATTGATGACACGTTGTTGTGGCGAAATTCTAGAATGTTCGTCTGGAACAAAATTGGCCGTCACGTACTCATGTTATTTTGATGATGCTCTTCGAGAAGCTCTTCGTTTATTTCCAAAAATGTTCAAGGTATAAAAATATATAAACACTTAAATTTTTGCTAAAGAGGAAGGATGTTCTTGGATTGCTTCCAGTTGGGTTTGGAAAAATGCTGATTTAAAAACTTTTTGAAATAAAGTGTTGACAGGCCAAACATGACTCATAAGCTGGTGGTAATGTGAAACATGACCATAGAGTTTGTTTGAACAACAGGTTTTCCCTCTTTACTTTCTCGTCATTGTCTTTGGACATTCTTAACTTTGACTTTAAATCTTATTTTTTGGTGCACTGAGTCACATTTAGACATGACTCATGCACTGATTGAGTAATTATTTCCTGTGGTTTATGCTACTGTAGGTATTTCTGGTAGCAAGAGAGGTGGCAACTATTGCGCATATAATGGATCGTGTTTTGATTGGTGAACTCTATTAATTGACATCACTGCTGTCAGTCAATACTTGTGGGTGTAGGTGGGCGGAAGAGCCAGAACAATGGACTCAGATAACAGAAGCTGTTTCTTTATCTCTTCCCCTTGCCTCATGCTTCACGCAAAATGCCGTGTTCGCCTTGCTTGGCTCATAAAGCGCCTGTTATGCAGGCTACTTCTCAAACAGAATGGCGTGAAGCATTTGATTTTCTATAAACCGGAATTTCCAGTTCCTTATTAAGAGGTCACCCTCTATTAAGTGGTCATTTTTCAAAGTCTCAAAAATTACTTCTCTTGATGTACTGTAATTTCGACCTCTATTAAGCAGTCACCTCTATTAAATGATCACGGTCACCATTTGCAAAGTTCCAAGGGGACTTTTTCTATTGTCTTGACCTGTATTAAATGGTCACACAGTGTCAATTACTTGTTCGGAAACTCTGGTATGCCATTGTAATATATGTCATAATGTGATCATGATTGGTTGTTAAGTAAACCAATCAGGTCAAATGTTACTATTCCAACAACGTCTTTTTTGCCCGTGTTTTTGCACAAATGACGTCATGTTTCGTGCATTATGACATCATCTATCACCCCTCCCTCATCAATTCTCGATATTTGAAGACGTGGGGGGTTGAAAGCCCTGACTTAGCCATTCCCCGAGGGTGACCACTTAACACAAGTTCGACTGTAAATGGTAACTTTTAAGTTTTTAAAAAAGCAGCATACACGCTAAAAGCCAGTCAGGTGTACATTCGGCGTGTTTCCAATCACGTCTCATAAACCACAGTTCATTTCAATTCCCGTAATCCCCTTGTCCCAGCGATTTACATGTATTTTATATTCTGATCTTGTTGTGGTCTCGGAAATGAGATTTCTTTTACCTTGCCGTAAGTGTATTGTAGCTTAGAGTTTTTCTCCTTTGCTTCGTCCCGCCAATCTTCAAGCCATTTCAGGAAGAGTGGGTTGGGGCACACCCGCTGTTTTTTGCGATTGCTCATGGTGATCCCCAAATTTTTCTGACACACAAACGTCTACGAGATTAATTTGCCCGCCATTCCCACGCCATGTTTGATCTTCGTTCACGATAGCACCGCTGACGTCAGGCTCAGGAATGTAGGTGACCTGTGGTTAATGTTGCGGTTACTGTGGTGAAACTCCTCCAGCAAAGCACTAGCAAAGTTCGGAGGAGAAAGCGTCCAATTTGACCGGGACTCAATTTGACCAGCTCCATCTGCCGTTCACTGCTTGGAGGATGTTTATAATAACAGAACTGTGCTGTAAACATGTAAATTGTTTGGACAAAGCTATAGACGCCAACGTGGTGGCGGTTGAAAATCTCACCGACTCATTGACGAAAATGATGGATGTCCGGAATCTTAGTTCTGATGTTTTCGTCAGTGGGAAGCAGGCGAATATTTTAATACAAGATTTAAGTCATGAGAACGTTCCTCTTTTAAGAGACGTTGAAAAACGCTTTCTGCATCATACTTTATCACTGACTACAAACATTGACGACCGTGATAGGATGTGATTTGCATTTGAATAGAGAAGCGCCGACGAATGGTCAAATGGTTTTTGCCTTATTTTACTTTTCTTCCCACAATCGCCGGACCAAAGCTTTTAAAATTTAAATAGATCAGTGAGGATTTGCCATTATGCGCCTGCAGCTCATTGGCTCTTGTAGCTTATTATGTATTCGTAAAGCATATTTATTCCGGAACTAAAAGCGGATACGGGCTGTTTGAACTCCATAATGAACGCTTGAATCAGGTGGAAATCCTTTCCTCCACTTGTCATTTCTGACATCAACGCGCCATTTATTCGCTAACCTCCAGTAAACTACGTCCTAAAAATCAAATTTTAGTGTTTTCACTGTTGGGTTTTCGCCGTAGCTGGTAATCTTGACTGCTGTTGCTATATGAACATGTCCATTGAGCGTATGAATTTTGTGTACTCACGTTTCATTACTTTCTGGTTATGATGGGACGCTCAAGTCTTCCAGTTCACGAACAGGGTGAAAATGGCTGCCATGTTGATGTCGTTGTTCGTCGATCAGACCGAACTTCCCACTATACGAGGTAAGCAAGTATTGTTTGGGTTTGTAAAAAGTTTCAACTCTCTATTTTTATTGAGAAATCGCGCTATTTTTTAAACTCAAATTGTTCAGAATGTGGGTTTAATGGAGTGAGCTGAGTGAATGTCAGTTAATAATTCTGACCATAATAAGCGTAAGATCAGATTCAGGGCGCTTGTGAGAAACAAAATGCTGTGCTGAAAAATAATGTAAGTTTCTTCGAAACTTTTGAGCGAAAAGACAAATTCGAAATGGCGACATTAATGTTTAATTTTACACACCGGTTTCACGTTGTCGTTATGTGTTCGTGGAAAAATCGAATTAAAAGATTGTACATCAAATAGGATCGTCATTTTCCCTTTGAAAGGCGTGAAAATAATGTTCTTTTGTTACTGGAACCTCGTTTATTTTTGGTTTCGACGTAGATCGGCTGGATATTTCTCTAAAAATATATAAAAGTATTCCCTATCAATGCCGAATTTTTATTGTAAGGGCGATTGAGAGTTTTCACGTTGAACATCATCTTTATCAACCTTTTCGCGATTGTTGCTTTAATTATGTGCTTTATACCATTCATTGGGCTAAAGCCAAGCGTGGTATTTTTCTTGAAACAGTTTTTGTTTTTCAATGTCTAAAAACAGCACTATCGGGGAAAGTAATCGGGTTCTGACAAAAATTGTGTTGGAGCAGTTTTACGACCCATAGGGCACAGACAAATGTCAACAATGAATTATTTATTTTACCTTGTACTGTATCGTGTGTGAGTGTGTTTTTGCCTTAATACAGTTATGAAGGTTGGCGGTGTATATTTTTGCCGCTTTCGTAAAGCCATTTTTGGAGCCTTTTTCCATTAAATGAAATTTCTTACACTATTCTATTGATAAGACTGAACTAAGATCGTTTCATTTGATCAACGCGTGTTCTTTTTACTTCGCTTAGGTTTACACAGTTTTACCGATGCGCGGGTGTTTTGATTCTTTTACATGCAGAAACCACACTGAACATGGTTAATAAGCTTTTATTTTTCTCCCACTATCAGTAAGAAACCATCGCGCGATTTCTGTGTTTTGGAACTTTTGTCGCCATTCCGAGCAGGTGTATAGGAGAGACCACAAGGACAATTTTTTCTCATGCAGCTGCAGATATATCTGGCAGATTTAAGATCGGTGTCGCGGAGAAAAATAAATACATTAAGCTTATTTTATTTTTCGTTCACCGATGACAAGTATTCTTTCATTGCTTATGTAAAGTAGTACGAAAGACTAGTAAATGGAAACAAAAATATTACAACTCTTGCTAACATTGGCATGTTCTTTTTTTATCATAATAATCCTTTAGCTCGGTTTTTTTTTCATTTAGACAAGAGAAGTGGCAATAATCGCTAGTTTTTCAGGGTATTGTCAGAAGCTTTTATGTGTACAGCCAGTGGCGACCAGTGTAGTATTTTTCTCACTACATTGCCAACACAACAATACAAACGAGACTTTCATTTATTGTTATGTGCTCATTTTAAAAGTGATGAATCACGGAGGTGTCTTGTCAGTGGATAACAAAGACATTTCCTTAATTTATTTCAGATGGTGTAGTAGTTAGCCAAATCAAACTTTTAATAATAGGTGTATCTCAATTTTTATTATGTATTTGATTTAAAGCATATTTTTAATATTTTCTCTTTGGTTAGGAATTACAGATTCCAAATTGCTAGCAAGAGGTATATCATTTAAAGTTAAACCTAATTCCCGGAACGCCTTGTGGACTATTTTGTATGCCATTAGTTTTGCTTTGAAAATAATATGCTTTTGTAAAATAATTCTAACGTTGTAATTTTTCCACAGATACCTTCAGTTAATTCCCACAACTAAAATAGGGAACGATCAAGTGACTATAAGTCCCCATCCACGCTTTACCCATTTTCATGATTTTGAAAACCAAATTTTTTTTCTCTGTCAATTAGTCTCTTGTCCATGCTTATCCAAAAATGTTCACCGTTTTTGGAAGGGCAATTTGACAAAACCTCGATTCACAGTTTATTTGTAAAATCTGTTCAATGCCACATTTTGTTACGGCAGGTCTCTTAACAGACACTCGCAAGCAGACAGCTCTATTTACAGCCAGTTCAGCGCTATTTCAAACTCTGTATTTTAACGTTCCTGTGAGCGGACATTCCCATAGGGGCTGCAGACACTTTCAGGATTTACAATTTAGATGTTGGCTTTGTTTTTAATTAGCTCTTGTAGGCAGACACCTGAAATGAGATCTTATTCACCTCTGAATCGTTTGTTTTTTCACATCGCTGTTTCTCACAATGAATTTTTAAATACGTATGCTTTATTTTTAAACTCATCATTTTGCCATTTGTATCAGTTTCAGAGTTTTTTTTTTTTTTTTTCAAATACACATCCTCAGTTTTACTTCGAAACATCAGTTGACTTTTATGTTTGTGCCTGAATTACATTGTCGTCAGAAAAGCAATATAGCCAAACACTAACAAACATTTTTTTGCTTTCCCAATATTTGTTTGTAACCTAGCAAGCTCCGGTAAGTCATCTTTAAGTGGCCGCATACCAGAACCATTCTTGTATGCAGCCAACTCTACAGCTGTAGTTACAGACTCCTTTTTCTTGTCCTGAGGGTGTCTGCTTATGAAAGCTTCCACTGTACTCCATTACGCCCCTGAAAATTTTGCCAAAAATGTGTTTTGAAGCTAGTCAAGCGGTTGTCTAGACACTGTTGTGTTATAAAGACCTAAAACTTACCATAAAGCTATTTACAGGTCATACACTTTGCGGCCTTCTGATCCAGATGCAAAATATTAGCTTGCGAAATTCAGGCATGCGCAGAAAGTAAAAGTGCGAGATAGTTTTTGGGTTTAAAAGTGACTCAGCAGTCTTGACTTTTCCTTTTCGCTTTCTCTCAGAAAAAGCTAAATGTTACTAAATGAGAGGGAAGGTAAGCTGGTAATGGAAGAAGATTTTCATGGAAATTTTCTGGTCAATGTTACATGGTTGTTTGCCTTTTTCTTCAGTGTCTTTGACTAAATTGTGCTCGTTCTGATATGGTTTGAAAGATCTCTTTACTCTGCACAAGTTAGCAGACAAAGTTGTCCTTGACCATTAAAACTGATGACATCACAAGTAGTAGAATGGATGTGGATCTGCACAGGTGGTTATGGGCGGCTCGGGGGCGAATGGGTTAAGTTGAAACAGCATGACAGATACACAAAGGACTGTAAGGCCAGAGGAAAATTTTTTCTTTTTCCCACTTGTGATAAAAATAAAACTTGCTTGTTGACCTTTTGGTACTGCCAAACATCCCACCCATTTATCTTTTAACAGTGGGTCAGATGTAAGTAAGACACATCATATCATAACTAATATTTTCAGATTTTGTTGGTTGTTGCCTTTTATTTTCAACTTTGTGAAATTATAATAAAAATTGATCAAAATAAATAGGGCAATCATATTAATAAGTTCAGATGGTGATCATCAACTACAGTAATTCTTAGGGAGGAACTGTTATACATTTATTAATGCATTTTAATTGACTGTGTCTGAAGAAAAGTAAACCTTGCTGTATTGTATGGAATTGTTAGCAAAGTTTGGACAGTTCTCTTAATAACAAATTATTATTGACCACTCCAGAAATACCATAACACACCATAATGCTCTTTGTTTGTCACCCCAAAATTTTGCATAAGCATTGTCTTCAGTTTCTCTTGGGAGTTAAAATGGCCCCAAGAGAAACTGAAAATAAATAATTGTACCAGGACAAACACAATTTGTACCATGAGCAAAATTGAACTACAACAGATATAACCTCAGCTGTGTGACCCTTGATTGAAAGAACGAGCAGGTCAAGATTTTGCTGTCTGGACACCTTTCCTCATAAGCATAATTTGTGACAATTCAAGATGGCAGACTTGTA